TTTTTAACCTTTTCTAATTAATTTATCCATCGCAGGTGCTTGAAATCATCATCCACAAGGAATATTTTGTTTTCTGTGTAGATTTTGCAGTAATCGGGCTGGTGCTTCCACATATTTTTGTTTAGAAAAGTGAAGAATTATAAATGTCCCATCGGTTATGATCTTCCGGATTTTCAATGTGGTGTTATTTGAACTGTAAATCCGTTCACATATGTGAAAAATAATAAAACAAGACCCCTCCCGATGGAAATATGCAAGATACGCATAACAATATCCCGACCAACCATTTCGTTAATTTTCTTTAATTTTCTATACATCGATCTTCAAAGCCATTCATAAGAAAAATCGATAGCGATCGTCACCATTTCATGAATAATTGTAAAGATGCTAAAAGTCTAATCGTGAATCGTTTATAAAGATTTTTCTCAAAATATTGCTACCAATCGTTACCAATGTTAAAATATCGATTGTGTTGCCAGATCAAAATATCGATTTCTGTTGTAAAATCAAAATATCGATACACAACTGCTGATTTTATTTGCTATTTTTTATCTGCATGATTTCTAGTTTCGATCCCATGCCATCTGGGGTGTACTGATTTCGTTGTTCGTTGCTAATCCTCGGATCCACGGCTGCTGTTGATGAGCTTATCAACGACAGGCAAACACACTCTAGTATGTGGTGTATTGAAATTTCTGTAAATCTTTTCATACATGAATTCAATATTTATTTGTCATAACCATCAACCAGTCAGCCATGTAGGTGTAATAGAGGTAAAAAAGGTGTAAATTTTCCTCATTGGGTTCCAAATGCCGAGAATCCCACCACGCATGCTATCACGGGTTATTAAATATATAGACGTAAACTTGAAGAACGACAATAGTAAACATTTGCTGCATCGCGGCCATCGGTCTTCTCGTTCATTTACCGGCAGATTGCTTCTTCCGATGATATGCCGAATATGTCGATAAATAATATAAACATTGCCACCTGTCACCTGGTGTGTCTCGAACTCTCTTTAACCAGCGTTGCAAATCGACAACAAGGAGATTATAAATGTGTATCGATGGCAATCTTTGTTGTTCTTTGTCAATGTTCAAAGTTACTATGATATCAGTATTTAAATATTTATTGATGAATATTTGTAAAGAATACTAAAGTCCATCTGACATATCGAAATTAAAAGAAATTTAGTATGGCACCTTTATAGATTACTATCATATGACCGATGTAGAAATAATCTTAAATGTAAGTATCGATCAATAAAGATTTTTAAATGTGTACATCGAAATCATAGAAAATTTAAAGTAAAGAATTGCTGACATAAATCTTTATTTCTGTATAAAGAACTTTGAAGAAGTTTCACGAATGGTTGGTCGGGATGCGTTAATTTGAGATGTAAACATTGTAATTTAGATGTAAACAAACGGTTTGGTTGACGTTTCCTCTCATAATCGCCTCTTCATTGGTGGTGCATAGATACAGCCTATTACAGGCCAAGTTTTGTAAAATCATGAAGTTTGATGTCGCACGACGAGTTTTGGTTCTAGTTGAGAATTGGCCACTACCCCGAGGACTCCGGAACATGCCCGGGAGGACAAGTGTGATTGTGCACTGTCAATAAGGTCATTTCCGGCTAAGTTTTGTAAAATCATGAAGTTTGATATCTCGCACTATGGGTTTGCTTCTAGTTGAGAATTGGCCACTTCCCTAGGGGCACCGGAACTTCTTCGGGATGCCCAATGTTCATCTGTAAAGCCGTAAAGGGTCCAATTACATCATTTGAATGAGAAAAAAATATGTTCACCGTGTGTATAATTATTTCAAAATAATAAAGCCGAATGCTGACCCACAGTAAACCAAACGGAAACCGGAATAACTCCAGAAACATGTATTGATTCAAATTTTTCCTGATGGATTCAAAAATTTGACTAGATTCCCGACAAAAAGCAGTTTTTTGTGCAGAAAAAGATTGAGAAATGATGTTTTTAGAGCTAATTGAATTTTGAAATCTATGCCAATTTAGACGTTATTCACGCAAAGGTTAAGGTTAATACGAACATTTAAAAATTCTCTCCCATACCCCACCGTGAAGGAATTTTGAAAACATCATTTCGATATTTCAAGGTTCAAGAGCAAATTTTCATTGCGTCGTAAACAAAATCGAGCTATCAGTGTCAATCGATGCTCCTGATATTACACATATACTGTCCGAATATAGGATCACATCCGATCAAAACAAAAAAAATCGATGTTACTTAAGTCACCCGATTTCTATGGAGATGCCATTTTTCTTAAGTAATAGAGCAGAGAAACCCATCAAAAGTCGAGGGGGACGACTCTATCTACGATGCAGGAAATATTGTGTTTTGCTGTGGCTAGCTGCGTGTACGCTGAGTGGATAGAAAGAAGATTTATCACCATTTTGAAGATTTCCTGCAAAAAAATGATTTGCTATGCAAGTAGATGCGAGAAATGCAAGAAGATTTTTCGAAGATTTATTCACTAGTGTGATATTTTTTGAGCATCTAGAATTGAGATTTAGATGTGTCGCCCCCCTCGTCAAAAGTGTACATTTGTCGTTTCGCTTTCTCAATATTAAAGTGAATAAATCGAACTGTTTGTTGCTCAGATGAATTCGGTGGTCCTAAAATGATGAATGGGCTGCACGTAAGGAGACGTGATCGATAATGCTCCCGAATATCCTGGTAAATACACTTTGTATGATCAAAACCCTGCTTAATATGTTAAACATTGCTATCACTATGAGATTATATGTGCTAAATTGGAAATAGGAATAACTTTTCGATCATCAAAACCAATCTTTATTTTTCTCGGATCGGTGCGAATGTTACCTTCGACATAATGAAAATTTGCTCTTGAGTTCTTATGTTCGCCACGAGAACTAAATTTTGATCACGAATAAAGACTGGTAACCAGTAAGAGGCATTTCCCTACATGATTGTGATGTTATTAATATTATTTATCTGTTTTATTATTAGTTACTGTAACACATTTTAGGTAACGTCCGGTTATAAGATTTGAACTCGTGAACCTTAGCGTTAGAGACATGGATGCTAACCAATTTCGCCCGGTCCGTCCTCTTCGATATTGTTAGTTTGTATATGCGAGATTTAATTCGCGATAAATCGATAGTTAACGCCACCCATGCAGATTTGCCCTATTAAAATGATGATAAAGAATCTGAATATCTCCTGAACATCCCGCGCGGGAAGAAGCTGCACGAAAAAAGTTTCCGTGGTGCTCCGCATGAAAACGAAAAGAACGCAGCCAGATGGATAAACCAAGACAACACTTCATGGGAAAATCGACTTTTACTGTTGCCAGTTTAGCAAATCTTGTTCTTATAACCCGATCACACTACAATCTATATTAGCTTATCTTGATATTAGAATACATACATCTAGTTTTCACTGGAAATCATATGTATAACTTTTGATATCAAGATCATCTATTCTTCGATACAATCGATGTAAATATTTACATTATTTGACAAATCTCAGGTAATCATGACAACAGTTGGTCTCTTTTCTTCATTCATATTGTTTTCAATAATAAAACGTCATGATTACCTGATGGGTTTTGTCAAAAAAGGTAAATATTTACGTTGTTTGTACCAAACAATATCACATATGTTGTGAGAACGGGATATTAAATCAAATCTAGATAATGTGTAAAGAGATCCTTTCGAACGTATAAAATGTCGTAATACCTCAATGTTACCGGTTTTTCTACAAAACTAGCTTCTCTACTTAACAGATTCGAATTTTCTACCTCCACTAATCATAAGATAATTACCAAATAAGTACCAAATAAGGCCTAACTAGAAACACTGGAATAAGAGACCAGCGGAGAAAAAAAACATGAATTTGGCAACAAGATAAACATCAAAGCAATCCTGGCATTACTTGCATTTGTAACTGCTTGCGAGTGACTTCGCCAATGCACCGACGACCCGCATAAGCGCGAACCATAAATTGACCTTACCGATAATGGTTATAAATTGTTTATAATCCCTGCTAAACTTCAACTGAAATGGTTATGGAACTTTACATGAACGTTTAATGATAAAGTTTTAACCTTAAGTATTATAGTTTTTTGGAAGTGGACCTTACCAATAATGGGTTGTTAAGAACCATTACCATTCAAAATTCTTGTTTTCTCCATACATTTTCGGAAAGAAAACTATATTAGAACGTTTTAACTTATGGTTTGAGAACATTAATGGTTATGGTTATGGTAACCAGTAAAGTTCATGAATGGTTTTGTAACATCGATCAACTTTATGTGGAATATATCGCGAATTGGTTGCCTGTAAATTACTGATTACCAATTCACGATATATTTCACGTAAAGTTGAGCGATAATACAAAACCATTAATGGACCTTACTGACTACCATAACCATAACCATTAATGTTCTCAAACCATAAGTAAAAACGTTCTAATATAGTTCTCTTTCCGAAAATGTATGGAGAAAACAAGAATTTTGAATGGTAATGGTTCTTAACAACCCATTATTTGTAAGGTCCGCTTCCAAAAAACCATAATACATAAGGTTAAAACTTTATCACACAAACGTTCATGTAAAGTTCCATAACCATTTCAGTTGAAGTTTAGCAGGGATTATAAACAATTTATAACCATTATCGGTAAGGTCATGTGATGGTTCGCGTTTATGCGGGGAGCGAGTTCATGAGTGATTCTTAAATGATGTTAATACTCCTCCCTAATTGAAGCAAACCATTTGTAAACATTTCAGATTGGAACCGCTTTTGACAGTTCGATTGGAATCATAACAGTGTCTCCGCTGGTCTCTTATTCCAGTGTTTCTAGGCCTAACCAGAGGCAAACATAAAAAAGAAAGGCAACCCTGGTTCCCCCACCCCGTCGATCAACGACGTCAACCGCAGTTTGACATTTTCCACCCGTCGTCCTCTTTGCTTATTTACTTCGCCTCATCTGACCTCGCACGGCGAAGACGTCGTGCATGCGTGATCCGTCAAACGTTCACCTATTTCATAACACACCTTCGGAAGCAGCGAATCGGTTCATCAGGAGTTCGTCGTCGCCGTCATCCCAATTTCGGATATTATTTTTTTATCAACTAAATACTAGCAGCCCAGGTGAGATGAACTCCCTAACGAGACTGATCGCATTCCGCGGCGCTTCGACATCCGGCGGTCTGCTGTCCGCAGTTGTCCGTCCACTGAGCACCGGTCAGCCCCGGTTCTGTGTCTTCAAAATCCAAAGCCCACAGGAGTTCCAGGAGAAGGTGAAAGACAGCAAGGACCCCATCATAGTGGACTTTTTTGCGACGTAATGATGACCGAGCGGGATTTTGCTTTGATTATACGTTTTTGATTGTGATTTGCTCTGTTGCAGATGGTGCGGTCCGTGCCGAATGTTGACACCGCGAATTGAATCCATTATCGGTGAGCAGAAGGGAAGGGTCAAGCTGGCAAAGGTCAGTCCCGGTGGAGGAAAAGGTGAAAGCGACTTTCGCTGAGTTAATTCATCTGGAACCGTCTTCATTCTAGGTCGATATTGACGAGCACACCGACCTGGCACTGGACTACGAGGTGGCATCAGTTCCGGTTCTGCTGGCAATTCGCAACGGCAAAGTCGAACAGCGTCTCGTTGGACTGCAGGACACCGACAAGCTGAGAAATTGGGTCGAGAAGGTGGTGAAGAACGAACAGTAGTAGCAATCCCAGTGAGGCAGCGCCCGAAGGCATTTTGAGTTGTTGGGTGGAAAAATGAGTGTTTTCGTTTTTCGTTTCGTCAGATGGAAATATGTTGTGAGAGCTTTACTTCAAATTTTCCCATAGGGGGATGATGATCGACAAATATGCTCCAGGTTAGAAATCTTGTCAGTGCGTACTATTTTTTCCTTACCCGGGATTTCGGGAAATATAGATTTGTTCTGAATTGAACTGTACTACGGGCCTTTTTGTTTCGATCGATGTCCATTATTTTTTTGTGAGAAAAGGCATTACGTAATTACCTATATTGTCATTTAAGGTTTTTTTTTCCTTGGATTTGTTTTCCGTCGATCTTGTTTTCCGTGCTGAGCACCAATGCTACCGACGCCAGGAAGGCAGCTCCCACACCTGGACCCTATCTATCGACCCATCAACTCATGAACCGGGGACCAACGGCTTTACTTCCCATCCGAAGGAAGGCGTGATCAGAGATGTTATGCCTCAGAACATCCCGGCGGCGCCGGGATTGAACCCAGGCCTGCTGGGGTGAGAGGTAATCACGCTTACCACTACACGTCATTTAAGGTTGAATTTTTCAAAACGAGCTTTTTAAAACGATAATATGAATGAACAGTTGAATAACAACTGGGGCCTCGGATAACCTGGTCAGTTAATCAGTTAAGGCACGGTATTACAATTATTAGTCGGAGGCAGCCAGCCCAGTGGCAGGCGCGTAGGCAACATGTTATACCGTGACAGCGGGCACAGCACAGCAAAAGAAACGGTTTGAGCCCGGGACATGCTGCCTACTGTCAAACGCTGCTGTTAGTATAGATCTTGTCACTAGCCTGGAGGCAGCAGTTTCGATTTCCGTTCTGGTCTAGAACATCTTTTTGGTAAGAAATGTTCTCGACTTCCTTAGGGCACAGAGTATTAGCATAGAGGTAACTCTAAGACCAGAAGGTCCCGAATAAAAGTGCTCAACTTTTTCGCTCAGCCCTGGTACTCTCTTCGGTCCCAAGCTAATCGATGCACTCCTCAAAACATAGGAAATCCACGAACCCCTCATTTTATCTATCAAACTTCCATAGCGAATCAAAATAAACATAGTGTAGTACTAGAATTTTGCCTAGAATGGGATACGTTAATCGATATGATTGGGACCAATAGGCTAGTCAAGTAGTGAGCCAATTTTAAATCATTAGTTTCCACCGGTTGGTATTAGTGTGCTTGCCGCACAATAAACAAATTCTTGCATTGGTTCGCACAGAAAGCTCTCATCGAAGATCCACAACTCCAGTCAAATCCAGGAAGAAAGTTTCTTCCTGGATTTGACTGGAGTTGTGGATCTTTGATAATCTTAGATTTAATATTAAAGCTGAACTGTCAAATCTGCAAAGATTTGGTTGTAGATATTCAAGGACAGGCAGGTATAAAATTAACCAAGCCATTGGTTGCAAAAAATGGGATCTCTCTGGAAATACAGAACCTAAAACCGACTCGTAACATCTTGTAAGTCCTCTGAACATTCTCTCGAAGTCTTCGAGACTCCCCTAAGCTGATGCGATACAGAATCCAAAACTGTCCTTCTTGGTGGCTGCAGTGCACTGTTCATAAAAGCATAACAGTCACACCTTTGCTTGATTTCCTATTAAAATGGGACTGTTATGCGTTTATGGGCAGTGCAGCAAATATGAGGACGTAGTTTCATGTGCGAAGTCGCAACTGTATCCAGGGATGCCAGGTGTTTAAAAAAAGTGTTCAACAAGATCAAAAAAAAAATCTTCAGGGGTATATTTCAACTTGGAGAACAGAAGGGGAGAGGGAGTGGCTTTCAATGTTTAATTTATTTTTAAATTTATGACATTATCCATAATGATGGGATTTCTGAGGAGAGAATTCCAAGAAAATCATGAAGACATCCAAAATATGATTTTAGAATAATTAATAACAAATTCGGTGGATTGTTTCAAGAGAATTCCAAGGGAATTTTTAAGGATATTCTGAGAGGAGAAATGCAACGAGAGTTCCAAGGAAATTTTAGGAGAAAACTTAGATAATGCCAAGGAATATGGCATAGAAATTGAGAGTTACAATTACAGGAGAATTAAGGAGAATTTTAAAAGAATTTCTTGGGAGTTCTGACTACAATACCAAGAAGATTATGGAAAGAGTTCTTCAGGAATTGAGAGGAGAACTTCAAGTGAAGTCTGATAGTTCTGAGTAGACTTTCAAGATATTATCCTCGATAACCGATTATCCGATGGAAATTCTGATATTGATTCGAATTGAATTTGAAAGAGCACTCAAAAGAATATCTAGGAGAATTCCAATGTTGGAAAAGTTCGCGATATTTCACGAAGTTCTCCAAGGGAAAAGTTCGCGAGACATAGTGATTTTTTGCGAACTTTTCCATCACTGGAGAATTCTAAGGGATATTTTAGGGAGAGCTTGAAAGGAATTCCCTGGAGTATTCAAATGCAACTCCTGGGCAAATTTCAAGAAAACTCAAAGTGAAATTTCATGAGAACATTTTAAGGAATTTCTGAGCAGAATTTAATGGTGATTTTAGAAATAATTCAATTGAAGTTTTAGGACGTTCTGGAGAATTCTGAAGAGAATTTCAAGGAAATTCTGCGAGAACTTATAGAGTTCGTGGCAAATTGCAAAGTGAATTTCTAGACCTATATGTAAAAAAAACTCATTGAGTATTGTGAAGAAAATTATGTTAGGATACCAGATAGAGTCCCAATTCTTAGATTTTTGAGAAATGCTTAAAGAAATCATGTGAAAGGATTTAAGACAATCCAGATGTAGACAAATTTACAAGATTCCGCACATAGAAAGAAAAATCAAGATTCATATTTGGGAAATAAATTAAGAATGCTGAGACTTCGGAAAATGTTTGAATTATCAAAGAGATTTCAAGATGGATTAAGAAAAATATTTAAGATACTGACCAGTATTTTTCTTTTTTTTTTTTTTTTTTTGATATTATGGATTTAACAAATGTGAGATCTTATATCAATATTCCGAAGCTGGAGTAATTTTTTGTGATTCTGATGTTTTAAGATGTTTCAAAACTAATGAAAATATTCGACTTTTGAAAATTTCTAAGAGCAACCGTACCAGTCGTTGCCATTTGCGGCACTATTTTACTTACGCACAGCGTTTCCATTTTGGCTTAATCACTCCCCTCCACACCGGTCGTTGCTATCAGAGTCATAATTTAAGTTACCGTTTTCCACACCGGCAAAACAAACTTTTGACGTTCATTCAAAATAGCAACCGTCGGATGCGTTGCTACCGGGTTGCTAAGATTAACCGTACCAATGAGTAAATAAGGCACATTTACTCTACCATAACGCTACTTGCGTACCGGAGGTTGCTATTCAGGTGGGGGAAATAGCAATCCGCACCATGGGAAGTAGTGAGTTCATAAATTTAGCAACCCGGTAGCAACGCATCAGACGGTTGCTATTTTGAATAAACGTCAAAAGTTTGTTTTGCCGGTGTGGAAAACGGTAACTTATAGTACGTTCAGACTACAGAGTTATAACATGTTATAGAGCTATCTTGATGGTGGTTTCTGTGTTGCAATTATTTGACAACCGTTATAACATGTTATAACTCTCCAGTCTGGACAGCGTTTTAAATTATGACTCTTAAACGCTGTCCAGACTGGAGAGTTATAACATGTTATAACGGTTGTCAAATAATTGCAACACAGAAACCACCATCAAGATAGCGCTATAACATGTTATAACTCTGTAGTCTGAACGTACTATTATAGCAACGACCGGTGTGGAGAGGAGTGATCAAGCCAAAATGGAAACGCTGTGCGTAAGTAAAATAGTGCCGCAAATGGCAACGACTGGTACGGTTGCTCTAAATGTACTAAATCACTACTTCCCAAGGTGCGGATTGCTATTTCCCCCACTTGAATAGCAACCCTGGGTACGCAAGTAGCGTTATGCCTTGTTCAGACTGGAGAGTTATAACATGTTATAACGGTTGTCAAATAATTGCAACACAGAGACCACCATCAAGATAGCGTTATAACATGTTATAACTCTGTAGTCTGAACGTACTATTATGGTAGAGGTTGGTAAATGTGCCTTATTTACTCATTGGTACGGTTGCTCTAACGTAAAATAAATCAAATTTCTGGTACTTTAAACATTTTCAAGATATTGAACTCAAACCATGTTTTTTAAACTCTAGGAATTTGCCCTATTCCGAACTTTGTAAATTATTTAAAATTTGATGACTTGAAGATTTTTTTAAACGATTTCGAGTAGAAATACTCAGAGGGAGAGATGGGCGGAGAAAACAAAATAAATTATCTTGCAACCCTTGTTAGAAGCTAGCATTTCACATGACTTTTACTTTTAATTCGATTTACGTGCAAAATAATAATTGAGTGCATCGCAATATTTTGCAAATTTCTTGGTGCCATTAATTAATCAACTAAGATCAATTAATCAATAGAACTAGAATATGGTTTTTTACTACAAAAACTAGTTGAATTTGAGAAGCAGACGAAACATAAAGGTGATTGAATTTCTGTTCTATTGTAATTCTCTCAAATTTAATGTAGTAGGGGTAAGAGGGGCATAGTGAGCATCCCGCACTTTGACTCTGGATTTCTAGCTGCATGAAGCAAATCAACTGGTAGTAGGTCCAATATCATTATGATATTGATCCTACCACCGACCAATTTGTTCCGAACGGCCGGAAGTCCAAGCTGGTGCACGGGATGCTCACTATGCCTCTCTTACCCCTAATAATAACAAATCATCGGAAAAACTCTAGCGGTAATGTTCGATTGGCTCAGAGTTTGACAGTTCATTTGGCTCAAAACATTCTCTCCGCCCATCTCTCCCTCTGAGTAAAGAGCCTGAATTTAGGAAAATAGTCATAGGAAAAGTTATTCCAATCTAGCAGACGACCTGTCAAATGGATAAGATGTCGCCTCTTTACCCAATTCAGTCTCTTTACCTCTGAGTATTTCTAATTCCGAGATTTTGGATCTACCAGGGGGAACGACACTCATTAAGATGAATTCTCTTTTACCATGCTTGCCTGTAAAAATAATGTAATTGAAGAGAGTTTTTTGAGTTTGTCGGCTTGACGAACATTTAGTAAGGATAGAAAAAATAATCTAGGATTCCTAATGGGATTGCATTGGATGCGAGGGTGCTTTAAATTGTCATGGGGATGCGTGCAACTGAAATGAAACAGTACGAAAGAAAAACATCGCAGTAGCTCAGTGAAAAATAATGTTTGGATGGTGACAGCTGGACTACAAAAGCCCTCTACTAATAGAATGTATCGATTCCACGACGAAACTGCAAAAACCTTTAATTCTAAACACGCAAACGAAATTTGTGAAAGCCAGTAGAAGCGGCAGTAGTTGCAGGAATAGCAGCATCGCGGATTCATGTAGCCGTTACCGAGACTGGAAACCTTGGTCCGGTCACGATACTGTGATCTTCACAACCGATTTGCAATTCTCCACAGATTAACTTAAAAATTCTACCCTGAATTTGAACTCACAAAAGTGACTTGGAGTGAAAGTCTAAAATCTCTTAGAGCGCTTTCTAAAACTACCTTTAATACCATCTGAAATTACTTGTTATCCCTGACATTAATTCAAAGTTTAGTCTGGTCCAAGAATCTTAAAACTTTTCAAAGCCCCAAAATCTTTTTTTCTAAAAAATAGATGAAGTAATTTTTTCCCCGATTTGTCATTGTTGAAAGTCTCGGGTTTTTTTTTTCGATTTCCCGGTTCACTGGTCATCCTGCTCATCCCACACCTGCCCTATAATATTCGATCGACTCTCCACAAATGAGAGAGCGAGATATATCGTCGAATTCGTGCAATACTGGCACCACTCAAAATCTGTGAATTTTCACATTCAACGTTTGAAAATTTGGGGTTCAGTTTCAATTTTATGATTCTTTTCATTTCCATTGGACTGAATCACAGAGAAACTGAATCGAGTGTGTTTCATTAATTATTTCAAATTCAGATTAAAAAATAAACAGATTAACGATTTTTACTGTATCTTATTTCAGATGTTCTCATTTGTCATTTGTCTCCTCTATGACGCTCTTGATGTATTTGCCCCCGCGACCAATTATAGACGAGTGGTCGGTCATCTATTTTAATTTAAGCTCCCTCGGGAACCCAATCGAGAAATCACTTCATCCTTGGCCTTCAGCATAGATATACGTGGTGGTTACCTTCGTACTTTTCATTCCCTAATTCATTTCCACCAGCTTCGCCAGGACAATCGCCACCTTGAACGACTCAACACATATAAAAAAATTTTAACACCATGTTTATTATGAAGATCGTTGAAAACTGACAGTGCTTCGCGATCGACCTGAAAACTGCACGGCTTGCTTGATGATTTGTGTGCATGCAGAAGGGATAAGTTGGGAATAGAAAGAATAGATAGGATGGATTGAAATTTTGTGCACGTTGAAAATTTTAGGAGTGATTTGGGTAGAAATGGAATAATCCTGAAGTGTCGTCCCCCCTGGGATCTACACACATAGAAAAAATCATGTAAATTCAGGTGATGACATGACGTCTCAGGTGATGTCATGACGTCTCAGATGCTCTGAGACGTCAATTTTGACATAAAATTGAGTCATGACAGACGCGAAATACGGATCAATCAAATATACTTTTTGTCGAATAACGAACTTTTCAGTCTCGGATCATTTAATTTTACATGACCTGTCTGATTACGTCACATCGTTTATGTCAAAGATTGATTCCGTCACGTGTAAAAATAGTTATTTGGGCAATTTTTAATTTGCACGGCGTGCATATTATGGGGCGATCAAGGGGTGTTCAACTCTGCACATCCCAATCTGTGCCGAAAGCTAGATCAAGCGTTATGCCGAACGTGCTGAAGTATGGCAATCAAGCCATCAGTCTCAGCAACCCATGAGTTTGGCAACCCTGCACTTATGACTTTTGAGATTGTGTGTGTACATTTTCAAGTCAAGGACGGAAAAAGGTCGTGAAACTTTATTCCAATATAATATTCAACGAGCTGGTTGCCGGTCATCCGCTTCAAGAAAATGGCACTCGAAGATTAGCCCCTCCGCGAGAAGGAGAAGGGTGACTGATGGCAAAAGCTGTCCATGCAGGAGAATACAGTTCTCTAACGTGCGTCATTCTGGCAGAAGTTTGCCGAAACCAAGTACCCAACCGGCAAGTGGAAGATGAATCTTGTCCTAGTCTTGTCTGCAATATCATCATGCTACTCGGGCAATGCTACAATCTGAACAATAGGAAGGACTCGACCAGCGGTAGTAGCACCAGCAATAGACCTGCAGTCGTGGTCAGGTACTAAATTCGTCTGACTGCCCCCTATCCAAATGTCGGTCCAGAATCTCGATACTGGTTGGAGTCGTTTGATGACTACCTCCTCCTTGTATCTGCCTGTTGTTCCTTCATATTTTTTATCCTTGGTCATGCCAGAATCGCATATTAATCTCCCTCAAACTGCTGCCGGTTCCGATTGCGTTCATTAAGACCGCGATTCAGATTGGCTCTGTTACCTCCGGTGTGGTTACCTTCACAATTATGTTAGCAGCATATTTCTTAATGTTGCTGTTGCCGTCGATGATACGAATAGTTGCGAAAGAGCGTAGAGAGACCTCCACAGTCAATCGAATCCGAGTTCAGTCCATAGAATGAGCTGTACGGCTGACTGATTGGTGAACCATCAATCGTACCGGGGTGTTCTGCGGGAGAAACAGCTGCGATTGCAGATACATCTGAAGAATGGTTGGATCGTTCGGCACCAGGGTGGTGTTAACACCGTACATTATCGCTGCAATGCTCCTTACCCATACAATTGACTTTCGATTCGGATCCTATGGCCATCTAGTTAATACTTAATTCTAGTTAGTTCAGGCCTATTCTGTGGGGCGTGGTGACTCTGACTAGTTCGTTTGGACTTCCCTGAAACTATGAACATCTCTCAAAAACCGTGTGAACTTTCTGTAGAGGTTTATCCCCCAGAAGGCATAAGGACAAAGAGTGTCTCGTCAATTATACAATCTCTTATTATGATTGACTTACTTTGAAGTAAACGAAAAAGTAAACCTTAGCAACGATTGGCAACATGTCAACGCTAAATAGTGATGCCATTTTATATTATATGTTGTGTCATACTTGTCATCATGTGGCATGACCCGCCGATCAGTGTGCCACGATGTGTTTCGGCACAATGTTTAAACTTGATTACCCCTTGGGGTGATCAACTTCATAAACCAGCTGAATTGTAAAAATTGCTTCGGAAAATACACAAAACAAATAGCCGAGTAGATGAATCGAAAATACTCAAGTTGACGGCCCTCGGCAGATTGGCGGGGTTCCAACTAAAAATTGTTTGGATTTAAAACGGTCAGATCTCGAGTCAGATAACCGATTACCGAGATCCAAGGTATTGACTCGGGTATTGACTACCAATGTTGCTTTAAAGCAACAGTAAACGCACCGAGAAATGTCAATCCAAGCGAGTTGTTAACGAAAGAGAAAATCGACGAAGAGAATAGATCATTGCAGTTATGTTAATCGATTTGCCTGGGACCAATAGGCTAGTCAAGTAGTGAGCCAATTTCAAATTGATAGTTTCATATTGATTGTTGTTTTTTTTAATTCTTTATTTGAGAGATTTTTAGCCATAGGCTAGTTCATCTCTACACACTTAAATTTTTTCGCCGAGATTCCAACAGCCGAGCAGTTCTGCAATTTATTTTACTGAGATTCAGTAAAACAATTGCCGAGACTCAGCTATCAAATAACTATTTGCTGAAATATCAGCTAACAAACAGATATTTTGCAGAGATATCAGCAAAAGTAAATGCCGAGGTATTCGGTTGTTGGAGATTTTACCGAGCTAGATTAAGTGTGTAGGCCCTTATGCATGGTCACTGTCGAATTAATTAGGTCTATTCAACATCTGTGCTAAAAAATTTACATTAAAAATAATTTCATCTGTCACCGTCTGTGGCAAAATAGAAACCAGAATCAAAACAAACGTACGCAGCCACGAAGTTTGTTTTGAAGATTTTTCACTCTCGCACGAGTTGAAAGTGGCGCGCCGCGGTAGTTTCAAAATTATAAATTAAACCCTTTATATTGGTGCCTATTCTGATTTGATTCAATCTGCAAAAAGATGGGTAAAAAGAAAGAAAAGCTCGCTGAAGATCAACCCTTGGAAGAAACTCCACAGGAACCTAAGAAGTCCAAAAGAGGTATAGTTACCCTGTCCTCGAATGTGCTATTCCACCATGCTTCAATCCCCAAACTCTCTACAGAAAAACGCAAACCCCCATCGGAATCCAACGACCAACAACCGACGACGGAAGATGAACCATCGACCAAGAAGTCCAAACTGATTAACCCGGGCAAGCAGCCTATCGCGGCCGGAACGACCATCGACCAAGCCCTACTGGTCAATCCGGCTCTCAAGTTGAACAAGAAAACCCAACGGGGGAAAAAGCGGGAAAAGCACGCCAAAAACGAGGACGAACGAAAGGAAAAGGCCAAGGAGCGCGAGAAGGAGGAAGTTCGCCAGTATCTCCAGACGTGGAACGACGATCGAGATCAGTGGAAATTTCAGAAACTCAAGCAAATTTACATCCAGGAGCACGTGTTCGATGAGGACCACCTGGATGGGGACATCTGGCCGCTGGTGTTGGAATATGTATCCGGCACGAAGGGATCCGGCAGAGAAGGTTTGACCAAAAGGGCGGAAAGTGTAATTAAAGAGGTAGACCAACAAGCGAAGGACGGCGGCGATGAGTCCCTGCTAGACGGAAGCAAGTATCAACGGGCTAGGGAATTGCTGCAGTATTTGGGATGAGTTCGGGTTGTTTCAGGAGAAAATAAAGATGTTTATCTATATATGCGCTGCTTTCATTCACTTACCTTCCGAACGTGGCACTAAATTTTACTTCCCTTGTTTATAAATATATGTAGATATATATTATAGCTATGTAGGTAGATTTAATATATAGATTTAAATAATAAATTTTATAACGAACAAATTTCAACAACAAAAATTCCTAGCCGTTAAGTTTTCCTCACTGTTGTCGCTGTTTATCATTTTTGACTGCGATTGTGGTGTCGGTCTTCTACACCGCAAATTGTTTAACACCGAGAGGAACCACACTATTTTTATATTACTGGATTTTGCCGAGCTATAAAACCAGCAATTCTTCCAGCAAAATATTTTTGCTGAACGATCAGCAAATTGACCCGACGTAAAATTACAGTAGTTGTTTAAGCACAAACGAAGTGATAGACGACTAACTGGCGAAGAAATCAATTAAAATAATGTGGGACGCTGTAATAGAATTTTCTTAGGCAGTGAACCATTTGTGAGTTAAATTTAACTCGTGGTTAAAAGTGACACTTTGAAAATTTCCATGTTCGAAAATCCCCGTGTCACAATTTAACTTCTTGTCTGTCAGAAATATCATACTCGGATAGCAGGGTTAATCGATAGCTTTTCATCTGTCAAATTTTAACCAAACACAGAAAAACAAAACTACCCACCGCTTGAGTTTTTTAAACTCAAATTTGAGTTATTTGACCTCTGCCCGTTTCATTTCCTCTCGCTATTGTTGTCAAAAATAGAACGAAAGATTCGACTCAACCGTCTAGTTCCGTACGAGAAGCCAAAATTGAGTAATATGCGATATACCCAAATTTGAGTTAATTGAACTTAATTTTGGGTAGAAAAAATTGAAAATAACTTAGCGATGGGTAATTTTTTTTGCCGTGCTTAAATGCAAACTACTTTGAGCCGGCTTACCCAAATTTGGCTTATCGTACGGAACATGGGAGATGAGTGAAAAGAACTTAATTTTGGGTTGTTTTGAATTTCTGTGAAAGATAAAAAAAATCGCAAAATGGTTAAGAGCCTTAGAAGCTTGTGCCACCAGATGGTCTAGTATTTTTGTTTTGATTTGAATAAAGTGGATTTTGTGTGCAATGATCTTTGACAGTGTGTAAAGAGTGTATCATCTTGTAATTTTTAATGCATTTCAGTTTTGAGTAGAGTGAAAGAGATACAACTCCCCGGCAAGGTGACAGATAATCTTAGTTTCACGTACCCACTTGCAAATAGTAGATGTCGCCACACAACGTAAACAAAGGGACTGCCCTTCACCGCCGCAATGGTATTTCTCTATGGGAAGGCAACTTTTTGTTTCACCATGTGTGGATGTCAAGCAACAAGCAAGAATGCCATGTGAAAAGAGCGATTTATGATTTTCGTGGTGAAATGAAATAAATCCAAACAAATTGGAACAGATTGATGGAAGTTTTTCTTATATAATCAAATAGAAATAAAAACACATTGGTTAATTCTATTATATTTTGCTCTTGAATATTATCAGTCTTGAGAATAATGTTTCTGAGCATACTTGTGCGGTGAAGACTTGCAATAAAAAGCCGTATCATTAAAAACAGTTTACTTCCCCATCTTTCTATTGAGGGGTGAAAAAAACACAAAATTGATTCTTATTCGCGGTGAGTAGCAGGTTTGCTGTGTGAACACTAACATTTCGTATATCCATTCAAACATGAAGAAATAAATAAAATAAATTAAAATAAGTGTCTCTCAACAAAAGATATTCATAATGAGCTTCTAAAACAAATAAATTTCAGTGATTGTCTTTTGTTACACCCGTCCGTTTAATTAACATTGTTCCCCACCAACTTGAAGTTTCAAGAAACAGATGAGGCTATCTGTTTTTATGTTCAGTATTTTATTTACTTTATTTACATATCTGCATTCGCCCTATTCAGATAACACTTCTGAAATTTGTGAGTTTGACAGAACCACCAGCACCAAATTTTCGGAGTACACTGGAAATGTACTGGACTTGTCAAGTTGCCCCCGGGTTGAAGAGATAGAACCAAAAGATTCTAGTATATTTGGTAAAAATGCTATGGAATTTGTTAATTAGGGTTTTAATTATGGAAATTCTACGAAAGAAGTCATTGTTGGATAAACTACGACTCGTACTGGAAAAAATCTTGTTGTGGCATAAATCAAGGCATAATAAGGCTGTGCTCCATTTAGTGAATTTTCACTTAAATTTTACACTTCGAAAATACATTATAATGTTCGAAAATCCCTCCCACAGCCTTTCCCGCATAAGAGCAACCGTACCAGTCGTTGCCATTAGCGGCACTATTTTACTAACGCACAGATTTCCATTTCGGCTTAATCACTCCTCTCCACACCGGTCGTTGCTATCAGAGTCATAATTTAAGTTACCGTTTTCCACACCGGCAAAACAAACTTTTGACGTTTATTCAAAATAAGAACCGTCTGATGCGTTGCTACCGGGTTGCTAAATTTATGAACTCACTACTTCCCAAGGTGCGGATTGCTATTTCCCCCACCTGAATAGCAACCTCCGGTACGCAAGTAGCGTTATGGTAGAGGTTGGTAAATGTGCCTTATTTACTCATTGGTACGGTTGCTCTAAACGCGAACCATAACTTGACCTTACCGAAAATGGTTAAAAATTCAGTGCCAATATTTCAAAGGGGCGTAATTGCTTTTGTAAACAATGGCTTTAGTCATCGATTTCTCGCGAATGAAAGCACACTCATGAAAATGAATGACACCAGCACGCAGAGGAACAATTCCTGTATTAGCTAGCATTTGTAATTTGATGGGGTGGGTTTTCATTTGCGAGAAATCTACGTCTAAAGCCATTGTTTACAAAAACAATTACGCCCCTTTGAAATGTTGGCACTGAATTGTTTATAATCCCTGCTAAACTTCAACTGAAATGGTTATGGTTATGGAACTTTACATGTACGTTTGTGCGATTAAGTTTTCACCTTATGTATTATGGTTTTTTTTGGTAATGACATTACAAATAATGGGTTGTTAAGAACCATTCCCATTCAAAATAGTTGTTTTTTTCCATACATTTTCGGAAAGAAAACTTTATTAGAACCTTTATACTTATGGTTTGAGGACTTTAATGTTAATGGTTATGGTAGTCAGTTAGGTCCATGGATGGTTTTGTAACATCGATCAACTTTATGTGGAATATATCGCGAATTGGTAATCATTAATTTACAGGCAACCTATTCGCGATATATTCCACATAAAGTTGATCGATGTTACAAAACCATCCATAGAGCTTTTTGACGTTTAATCGGCGCACACTACTGCACCATTTTAATCGAACGAGTGCGAGCAAGAGGGAAACAGATTAGTGGGAAAACAAACCGTAAATTAATTGATGTGCGCTAGATAGAGAAAGACGATTTAACGTCAAAAGGTCTATGGAATTTACTGACTACTAGAGAGGGTACAGTATAAGCACAAACGAAGTGACAGACGACTAACTGGCGAAGAAATTAATTAAAATAATGTGGTTCACTGTAATAGAATTTTCTTGGAAGCTTCTGCCATCGTCCACCAGATGGGTTAGTTTTTTGGTTTTGATTTGAACAAAGTTGATTTTGTGTACAATGATTCTTTGACAGTGTGCAAAGAGTGTATCATTTTGTCATTTTTTTTATGCATTTCAGTTTTGAGTAGAGTGAAAGAGATAGAACCAAAACATTCTAATACATTTGGTGAAAATGCTAGTACAATCCATAGTAGTGTTGCCATGTGGAAAAATCCAGTAGTAGTGGTGTTGCCATGTGGTACACTGAAAAATTTAAATAGCAGGTTAGTCACCAAAGTTTTCGAGCCGCTCCGTCTGTCACTTCGTTTGTGGTATAAGAGAGGAGTGGATTCAAAATAAACTTCCTTGGCAAACTATGCCTAGGTGATTTCTAGCAACACTGCCAATGCAATCAAGATTGCTCGATTGGCTCTGGCTTTAACAGTTTGCTTGGCTATAAACTTGCCAGTCCACTCCTCTCTTACACTAGACCCTCTCTACTGACTACCATAGCCATAATCATTAAAATTCTCAAACCATAAGTAACAAAGGTTCTAACACAGACAAACAGACATAACACTCGTAAGTTGTTAATCGAACAAGCATTTAACAGTCAATTTAAAAGTATCGTAGTTGGTAGTACCACCACCTGTGGCGCGCATAGTCAATTGCCTTGCGTTTGACGTTTACACACTTCCGCCATCTGTTCAGCGTACTACCCACCACAGTGTATTCAACAGATGGCGGTAATGTTTTAGCGACGATGTTTTACAGTGATAAATATCCAATGTGTTATGTCTGTTTGTCTGTGGTTCTAATATAGTTTTCTTTCCGAAAATGTATGGAGAAAACAACTATTTTGAATGGTATTGGTTCTTAACAACCCATTATTTGAAAGGTTCATTACCAAAAAAACCATAATACATATCACAAAAACGTTCATGTAAAGTTCCATAACCATTTCAGTTAAAGTTTAGCATTTTGTGGTACGGTCAAGCAATGGTTCGCATTAGAGCAACCGTAACGGTACGCTGCTAAACTCATTTTAGCAGCCCTCATCATAGCGCAGCTACCGTATCGGGGGTTGCCATACGAGTCACTAAAATAGCAGTCGGCTTCTCGGTGAGAAGCGCGTTACCAAATTTAACAGCGCGATAGCAGCACGGGAGAAAGGTTGCTATTCGTAGAAATGTCAAAATGCTCACAACCGGTACGGACTACGGCGAGTTAATTGATAACCGCGATAGCAGCGACCGGTGTGGAGAAGAGTGACTAAACTAAAATGAGAGCGATGTGCGCTGTTAAAATAATCGCGCAAATGACAACGACCGTTACGGTTGCTCTTATTTATGCGGCTATACACCGAAAAAAGTTTTCATGTAGCTTCCATTGGAAAGGCACATGATTTTCATCCATAATCAAAATTAATGGAATTCATCTGAATTACACATAACATTTATGCAATCACATTAATTGTATGTGATTTTTCATATGAATTTCATCGACCTCATAATATTCATGTGATTTTGTGGTGGGATTTGCTGCTATGTGATCACAGAAAAGCTATGTGAAATTCACATGGATTTCATCCATTAGATATGTGATAAATTTTTTGAGTGTAGCCATTCAACCGAGGTATCCTGAAACGCAAACCTAGCCGCACACACCCCTCGACGGCATTACACCGTCGCACCCTTTTGACGTTTCTGCTGCTGACGGAGAAAAGTCATCGCAGTGCGCAAACAAAAGACGGAAAAAAGCCAAAGAAGAAGCAGCAAAAATTTCGACACCACTTTGACTTCATAAAAATCGCGCAGGTGAAATTTTCCCAAAAATAATCCCCGTAATCCGGGTGTTACGTCGTCGGATAGTGATCCGTAGCGGGTGCGAAAATCAAGTTCATCACTCGGCGGTTGTGAAGAAAGTGGAATTTCGCGCTTCTGAGCAGTGAGGATTGCAGGAAGTTACCTTCCCCGTCGCTCTCTCATTCATTCAAGGACAACGGTGGAGGGGTCGGAGAGAAGCTGAAGAGCCTCTGGTTTCGTTTTCGGTCGTGGTCGGTGGTGATTTGGAACGCGAAAGGAGTGCAAATTTTTGGATTGTTTTGATAGAAGAAGCGAAGAAATCGTAGTGCTAGTGTTTCTGGTTTGATGGTGGCAGAAAATCCGGTTTTCGATCGCTACTAACTACTAGCGTTAACCGCAACAGCAGCAGGAGGAAAGGAGAATGTCACTTCCTGTTTTGCTCAGGCAGAGCAGAAATAATCATCAGCTGAAAAAGATCAGCGTGTAAATAAATAAATACGGGGGGTGGGAAAACGGGTGATTGTGAAGATTCCAGAACAATGGAAGGCGACATCTGTCGGGTTTGCCGCTGCGAGGCGCAATCCGATCGGCCACTGTTTCACCCGTGCATCTGCACCGGAAGCATCAAGTGGATCCACCAGGACTGTTTGATGCAATGGATGCGCTACTCGAGGAAGGAATACTGCGAACTGTGCGGGCACCGGTTCTCGTTTACGCCCATCTATTCGCCGGATATGCCGCGGGTGCTTCCGCTGAAGTACGTCGCCGGAGGATTGCTGAGCTCGATTGGGACGGCGGTGAAGTACTGGATCCACTACAGTATGGTGGCGGTGGCGTGGCTCGGTGTGGTTCCGCTGACGGCGTACCGAACGTATCGTTTCCTGTTTTCCGGTTCGATCGATATGCTGCTGACCCTGCCGATCGATATGTTCTCGACGGAAAATATTGCGATCGACGTATTCCGGGGATGCTTCGTGGCGACCTGTACGCTGTTTACGTTCGTGGGCTTGGTGTGGCTGCGGGAGCAGATCATACATGGCGGAGGACCGGATTGGCTGGAACGGGACGATCCTCCTCCGGCTGTCCAGGCCGACGCCAACGGGCACGAGGAACGCCCGAATCAGGATAACAACGGACCGGAAGCGAACGACGATAATAATAATAACAACAACAACAACAATGATGACAACAATAACGAAGAGGAGCACAACAATAATAATAATAACAACTTTGTGGATAACAATTTGGTTAACTTGCAAGATCGGGTAAGTGCTAACTGTTGAAAATGCTTCGTGTAGTTATATCTATGCAATCTATCAATTTGAATCATAGCTCCTATCTTATAGTTATGTTTAAGGTCTTGATCTGCACATCAACCATGTCGTAAAAGTCGTGAAATGTTGTACAACGAGGTTGATATAAATGGAATCAATCTAATTGGTCGATTGATAATTATTGCCATAGCCAGAGCTGGTAAATATCACGGCCCCGTCATGTGACAATGAGAAAACAGGTCCTCTCACTATCACGAGACGAAACGACCGATCATTCGCTTTCTTGTCATTTTCCAATAATCAAGCACTCATGAGTATAATTCTTATGCAATTTTGACATCAACATTTCTAACTGATTTAGATGAGTTTAAGCAAGTAACCGTATGTAATCGGTAGAGTGAATATATTTTTAAAATTTCCTTGGTACAAGTAACTTTAGTAGCAGGACATGGGCTAGTAATTTGTTTTAACTCTTTATTTGTTTCAAATTGAAAATAAATTACAATTAATTTTACCCTAGGTCCTCCAGTTACTACAGTAACTTACCAGCCTTAATTGTTATGATATATATCTAAGTGTTTTTTACATTGTTTAGCATTTTAAACAGGGTTTTTTTTTAAACCTGCATGTCAGTATAACAATTTACATCTTAAAACTAAAAACTGAATCTAAATCTTATCTAATTATAAAGGGAATTAACCGTTGCAATTTTCAATTTTTGCCTGAAATTATTAATTATTTTGGACATTTTGCTCTTCGCTTATTGAAGAAAGCAAACTTATTGGACGGTAGCTAGAAGCTTCAGCTGGATTTTTATCCGGCTTCAAAATTGGAGCAACTGTAGCATTTTTCCATTTTTCAGGAGTTTTTTGATGAGGATATAGAAAATTCCATCATCACCTGGAGCTTTCATATTTTGAAACTTTTTAGTTATAGATCTAACTTCGTCCAAATCAGTCCCCCAGGAATCATCAAAAATATTTTCCCGAGAGAAAATATTCCAGGGCTGGTAGCGAGTCACTTTTTAGTGACTTGGTCATTTTTTTCAAGCCAGTCACTAAAAAGTCTCTTCTTTAAAGGCCAAAGTTAACACTAAAAGTTACTTTTTCTTGTAATCAGTCACTATTTTCAATTTTTGTAGCATGAATTTATTTCAAGATTGAGCATTCTTTGCTTTGTGACGTTTAATCGTCTTTCTTTACTTAGTCTTAGAACTTTAACTGATAAATTCCAGGCTTATAATAAGAAGCTATGTTTTTTAAATGCGTTAAATATATTTTTTTTAGATAAAAAAACAACAGCAATTAACCAAAAAAAAATAAGACATGGCAATCAGTTTTGAAGAAACAGTTTTACAATCAAATCCATTGAATGTTGAAGTTTAACACTTAATTAATTTCCCACTTTAATATAGTTAAAAACTAACTTAATTTGAGTAAGTCCAAGATCTAAAAACATTCATGTCTTGAAGTTTCGTATTCCATGTACAAGTTAAAGATATTGAAAATTTTCAAACTGCCTGAATTAAGGAAAACATTAAATGATTTATTTCATGTTCGTAATTAACTTTATGAAAGATCTGAGATCTTCATCGCAGTCCTATTAACTTTACAACAATTGTAGGAACTTTGAAGAAGTTCTGATGAATGAAAGGAAATGCTGAGAATTTCAGTGAAGCTCCATAAACTAACTGCGGGAACATAAGGGAAGTTAACACGCTGAAAATTTGGGGAACTTACTGGAAGCTTTAAGAACTTCAAAGCGGTTCCTTTGGCATCCGAAAATTTTCAGGATCTTTTATGAAGTTCCTAGAATTTCAGAGAACTTCACAGGTGTCAAGCGTACTTGAGAAACATGGAAAACTTGAGGGGTATTTGCAAGAAGAAGTTCTAAGCACCTCAGAAAAGCTAGAACTAGAGATGTTTGGGTAATTTCAGATCTTAAGGGCAGTTCCCGTAACTTTAGTTCAGTCTTTTGGAGCAGTTTAAATATCTTTAATCGAAAATTAAGAAAAATTCAAGATAGTTCCATGATGCGATAAGATGTTCCAAGAAGTACAGAGACCTTCAGAGAATTTATGAAAACTTCAGAAATATTTCAGGTACTTCACAGAAGTTCAGAGAATTTCAGAGAAATATAAAGGTGTTTACGGGAAATCCATTTATTTCCAAGCAGAACCGAGATCTTCAATATAATTGAGAGCTTTAGGGAAGCTTCGAGAACATCAAGACAGATCAGAGAATCAAAGGGCAGTTCAAATAATTTCAAGGGAATTGTAAAAACCTTAAAGAAGATTTGAGAAGAGCGCCGCTGGGGGAGTAGTGGTAAGCGTGATTGCCTCTCACCCCAAAAGGCCTGGGTTCAATCCCAGTCGGCGCCGCCGGGATTTTCGGAGGCATAAAATCTCTGATCACGCCTTCCTGCGGAAGGGAAGTAAAGCCGTTGGTCCCCGGTTCATGAGTTGATAGGTCGATAGAGTAGGGTCCATGTTTAGGAGCTGCCTCCCTGGCGGCAGTAGCATTGATACGCAGTACGGAAAACAAGATCGACGGAAATCAAATCAAAGATAAAAAAACCGAGAAACTCAGGGAATTTCCGGAAACTTCAGCAAAGCTCCGCGAGAATTTCGTACGTGATATAAAATATATGATCATCCGGAAAACGTGAATGTAATTTAAGGGTGTTATATTATTGAGATTTCAAGAACATAAAAGTGTGTAAATTTAGTTAAATTGATTAAAGAACATCAACCAAGTTCCATTAATAAAAAAATGCGTGAACTTTTATAGCACAGGCAAACAGGCATAACACTCGCAAGTTGTTCATCGAACAAGTATTTAACGGTCAATTTAAAAGTATCGTAGTTGGTAGTACCGCCACCTGTGGCGCGCATAGTCAACTCCCTTGCGTTTGATGTTTATACACTACCGTCATCAGCGTACTACCAACAATCAATACGAAACTAACGATTTTAAATTGGCTCACTACTTGACTAGCCTATTGGTCCCAAGCAAACGATTAACGTACCCCATTCTAGTCAAAATTCTAGTACTACGCAATGTTTGTTTTGATTCGCTATGAAAGTTTGACAGATAAAATGAGGGGTTATTGGTTTTTCTTATGTTTCGAGGGGTGAATCGATTAACTTGGGACTGAAGAGAGTACCAGAGCTGAGCCAAAAAGTTGGGCACGTTATTTCAGGACCTTCTAGTCTTAGAGTTACCTCTATGGAACTACCCACTACAGTGTACTCAACAGATGGCGGTAATGTTTTAGCGACGATGTTTTACATTGAGACATATTCAATGTGTTATGTCTGTAAGTCTGTGCTTTTAGCAAGCAGCGATATCTTAAAGAAATTCCGGAGAACTTCTAATAAATTTAGATATTTTTAGATAGTTTCATCATATTTATCGAAGTTCTGAGTACTTCGAGGACGATCAGATAGCTTCAGAATAATCCCATTAACTTAAGCAAATTTGCAGCAACTTACAAGGAATTCCGTGGAATTATGGGATATTCCAAAAATTCTATGATTGATCCGAAAGCGTCGTTTTCATTAGAAAAATTTCCGGTTTATTAAACACATTTAGAGAACTTCAGGTATAGATAAGTTCAGGGAAAATTAGTGAGCGTTTATAATGGCTATAATATTTAAGGAAAATTGTCGCAACTTCAAGGCAAATCAATTAATTCCAGTAAAGTTGTGGGTTCTTAAAAAAATACTGATACATTCAGGACATTCTAAAGAACTTTAAAGAAATTCAGTAATCGTTTAGGCAGTTTTAATAACACCAGGAATGTCTAGGCTATTGAAGGAGTTTTAATTTTTTGTCGATAAATTAAGGGAAATTTCATGACATTTTGAGAACTCCAGTGAAAATTAATTAATTATTTCGTTCTAATTCCATAAAAATTGAGAGAGCACAAAAGTTCCAGAAATTTAGAAAAACTTCACAGAAGAACAGTGGTCTTCAGAAACATTTCGAGAACTTTTAATAAATGATAATAGCCTTTAAAATAATGCATGGAATTGGACTCCAGATTCTTGAAAATTTCTTAAAGTATAATAATAGTTTTTAAGTCCAGAACTAGCTTAAATTTAAAATTTCTAAGAAATATGCATGTTCCAAAATCAAAAGAAAAAACATTTAAAGCCTCTGGTTTTTTTTTATTTATTTGCTACTGAAGATTAATCCACTGTGGATCTATCTATAAAGTTCATATAAATTCATTATTTTCCTTAAAATATCCTTATTCAGGCATGTATTTTAAGGAAAAAAAAATCCCGATTTTCCTGACTAATACCATAGAGATAACTCTAAGACCAGAAAGTCCCAAAGAAACGTGCTCAATTTGTTGGCTCAGCTCTGATACTATCTTCGGTCCCAAGCTAATCGATGTTAAAGTATATGAGAGTGCACAGAGAATGGGACGAATTTCTGAGAGAAGAATCTCTCTCCAGAAGTTCGTCCCATTCTCTGTGCACTCTCATATACTTTAACAGGTTATGGGCCCAGGTGTGCGTGAAATCTAAGAATTACAATTTGTTCAGATGGAGCTTTCTGTTGAACATTTGTTAGGTTTTTGATGGAAGTCTAGACGGAGCTTTCTGTTGGACGATTCCAATTGGATAAAAATATTGTTTTCTTTTTAACAGGAGAAACTATGGACAATCGAGTTCGAAGAATTGCTGTCCCTCTGTTCAAAGAAGATGAAAAATCATTTCCTTTCTGGAAACGGCGTATTGAGCAGCACCTCAAGCAAGAAGGCCTTCTGCATACGTTGGAGAGAGTTCCGGAAGAGGAAGATTTTGCAAATCCGGTTGAGGGTGCAACACCTGAACAAGAACAGGAACGTGAAACGAAATTCGCAAATCGACAGAAGGAAGACGATCGAGCGGTCAACGAGCTATGGATGGCACTTGAGGACGATGCAATGGCACATGTATTTTCATGCACCTACGCAAAAGAAATTATGTGCAGATTGCA